TGGATGACTCCCCGGCCAATGAAGGCAAGGTGGATGACTCCCCTGCCAGTTAAGTTGCTTTTACAATAATTTATGAAATCTTTTTCTTTTTGTATCAAAACTACGTGAATTACAATGTCGTTTGTGTGATGCGTTTTTCTCATCACGTTTCAAACTCCAGCAGTAGTCACCTAACATTGCTGAATTCCACCTGCCTTGGTATCTTCTTTTAATCTCCTTCATATCTTGATGATATCTTTCCCCTTGTTCTTCACTGATTTCTCCCAGATTTGCGGGGAAAAAGTCCAAATGAGAATAAAGAAAATGCAGTTTTACACTCATGTTACAACCTAATTTTTTGAAATTATCCAGTATGGTCTCAACTAGATCTTTGTAATTAGCTTCCTTTCGATTCCCTAAGAATCCTTTAATGACTGCTTTGAAACTTAACCATGCATTTTTCTCATTGACGGTCATTGTTTCCGCAAAATGTTCATCCTTCATTAGTTTTCTAATATCTGGACCAACAAAAATACCTTCTTTAATTTTCGCTTCACTTAAAGATGGAAACTGTTGTTGCAGATATCGAAAACAGTTACTCTCTCGGTCCAGTGCTTTTACAAACTGCTTCATTAGCCCAAGCTTTATATGCAGAGGAGGCAACAGAACATTGTTTCGGTCGATCAGCGGTTGCTGAGAAATATTATGCGAACCTATTTCTAGTTTTTCTCTTAATGACCAATCTTTTTTTATCCAGTGTAGGTCTTTCGCTCTGCTGTCCCACTCTTGCATATAAAGCACGGGAATTTAGTATAACCTGTTTGTTGTCCAAGAATCATTCCAATAGCTTTTAAATCACCACAAACTTTCCATTTATGTTCATCATACCTTATTGACTGAAAAATCAAATTCATGTTGGTGTACGACTCCTTCAGATGCTCTGAATAAACAATGGGAATAGACGCATACCTATTACCATTATGCAAAAGCACACCTTTTAAGCTTCTTTTCGAGGAATCTATGAAAAATCTCCAATCCGCACTGTTAAACTTAATTCCGTATTTATCCAACAAACCCGAGACATCGTTACAAAATACTAAAGAATCCTCTTCGGTGAAAAACCGTGAAAATTCTTTCTCGCAGGACCTATACCACGAAAAGGATGTTTTTGGAAGAAAAAGATTACGCTCTTTCAATCTAGAGCCTAAAGTTCAGCTTTTTCTTTCGATAGATTTAAATCCCTGACTAAATCGTTCAGTGCAGCTTGATCGTACAACCGCGGAGTCGTCTCTAAACTGTCTAAATCGTACATAACATTGTTATCCTCATTACTAGCTTGTTCCTCATATTGAAAATTTTTCTGAGATGTTCCTGACTTTTGAGGAACAGGTAGTGGATCCATAGAGGATCTTGGAGTCGGCTTTGTTACGGATGGTACATCCGGATATTTTATAAAATTTTTATTCGTACTATTGTAACCAAATACATTGCATAAGCAGAAATAGCACTCATCGTGACTCTTTGGTTCTCGCCAGATCATCGGTGTGCTGAAATGGAAATATTTTGGTTTACCAATATACCATGATTTTAAGACTTCCACACAAGATTTGCATGATTTGTGCGGAACCCAACTTTTATCTTGATGAGTAATTTCACGATTAAAGTAATCATAATACCTCTCTTTTAAAGAATCATTTATAGAAAATATATGCTTCGAGAGCATAAATTTTCCACAAATATAGCAGAATCGATCAGGATTATTAACACAAACCTTCCTAGACATCGCAAAAATTAATGAAAAAATCAGAAATTAGAAAAAGATCTTTGCAAAAGTATAAAAACTGCAAGTAAATATATGACGTTATAAATTTTCTAGAATACAAAAACTGGAAAGGAGCAACAAATGAATGAAGAATGTTGGAATGGATACGGCCGATACGGGTCAATATACTACGTCGAGTATTGAGTTCGAAATGTGAATTATAATGGAATTAAATATATTTCTCTCTCAGGAAAAACCTGTTTACAAACAGAGTCCAGGGGCCCAATTCTTGAAACTATGACCCTAGATATCGCATGTTATATCGATATAGAAAATCGTATTCTTGAGTCATCTCGAATGGGGTGAGAATTGTTCGTATGCGACAAATATCGAATACTTGACATCAAGTGGGTACAACCACACGAAATGTAATGTCGTGTACGATAAATATAGTAACAAATGCTGTTTTTGATGAAAGTGACTAAGTTTATATATGACGTGAGTGAAGATAATATAATTAAGAATAAAAAATATAATTAAAATATAATTATAATAAAATATAATTAAAATATAATTATAATAAAATATAATTATAAAATATTATAATAAAATATAATTAAGAATATAAAGTTAAAAAGATGGATATGTGGCATATCGAAATGCTGTTCAGCTTCACGTCGCCAATCAATTAGAATACTTTTTGGAATACAATGAGAGGCCGCGATTTTAAATAAATGATGATCCATTTCAACTCTTAGAACGACAATTCATTAAACTTTTTCGATTAAAAAAAGATACTACAATCAGACTGATAAATATTGTAGAAGAACATTCAGCAGTACCATTACGAACTTTAGTTTTGAATGCTACTGTACAGGTGAGCTTAGATGAAACATGCGGAATGAAATTGATTGTAATAAAAAATGTATGATTTTTTTTAAGGTTTTAACTGCATTACGTTTTTATGCGTCTGGTAGCTATCAAAATTGCGTTGGAAGTAATGTTCATATGCGTATCAGTCAAACATCAGTCAGCCGATGCATTCATAACGTTAC